CAAAATCAAGGTAATATTAACTAAAGATCTAACCAAGAAGTAACTTCAACAATGGTTCACCTAATTGATCATTGATGCAAGGCAATCCCAATTATTTACTGATAAATAGGTTATAACTGCCAAACAAGCGATGACGGTCAACCCCTCCTTACTGTGTCGGTGATCAAGGTACGCCCGTTAATCACTGCTCTAATTAAGAAATAATCCTAGGTACGCCCGTAGAATTTAATTCCCCAATTGCCTTAGTATTAGAGGAGCCCTATTCTAACCAAATAACACACTACCAGGGTTATTTTAGATTAGCCCGCATATCCCCCCTGGCACGAATCTAATCGTGCCAGTTGTCACTATTTCAGGACAATTAAACAATTACGGATTTAAATGCCCTAATTGACAATAGGCTATCAGATCAATTAATTATCTGGATCCAAGACAATCAATTAATTAAATAACCATAAGCATAGCAATCAAGAAATGTGCGGATACCAATAAATAAAAGGAAAAGATTAAATTAAAACGATCTCACAATTTTTAGGCAAATCAGAGCCTTCGTTGCTCCTTGACTAGAGTGGTGAAATTAGTTCATGTTGGATGAACAAAGCCCATATAAAATTGAAGAGAAACCAGCGGCCATGTCCGTTGAAATTTGGTAGAATCCAACTCGTCTCAATATATTGAATGAATAGAAAAACTACAAAAGTTTATAGTTTTCACTTCGTCTGGCGCACAAAGGAAAAGAGGTTACTCAGAATTTCTAAGGAAGAAAAGATCAAAAGCCACGAATGGCTAAGTGCTGACATTCGTAAGTAGCAATCCACTGCCACAAGCTAAAGAAGAAAAGTCAAAGATGGAGGAATAAGTTAAAAGCCATCTGCCATGCGTAATATCAGCCAAAAGGAAATCTTTAACAAAAGTCTCCCAGGGAAAATCAGATGCTAAGCTAAAAACTAAAAAAACTCCTTTTCCCCCCTGCAATTGCTTTTACGTCTGCCCTCTTCCCTGCTACTGTGCGGCCGCTTCCAATCCATGTTAGACCCATTTTGTCTGTTTCCCTTTTCTCCCAAATTACCAAGATGGGCACAAGTTCTCCTTTCCAAAAATGCCCTTGGGGCAAGCTCTATCATCTGGACTCTTTTTCTGCCAAATTAGCACCTGTTATCAAATTTCCGTTCTACTCCCTGAAATAAATACAAAGTACTAAAAGTGAGCAGAATCCAGCAATTAATCCACATCAGGTCAGGTGATAGGGGAAATTAATAATAAAATAAATAGTAAAATTACACCCTATCATACAATCACTAATTCATTATTGTGTTTGTGCTTTTTTGTTTTAGAAAAAAGTGTTATTCTATTAAGTGTAATTAGAAATTTAGTATAAATGTATTAGTAAATTTAGTATAACTAATTCATAAATTCTATTAGTAGACATGTCTAATTATTCATATAATTGATAATATTAATTATATTACATACACTAATATACATTATATAATACATCTAACTAATAATATCATTATCATAAGTTTATAACTAATTAAATTACATATTATATATAATTTTTTTTTTGCGGGGGATGGGGCGGGGGTATACTCCCCCGTCCCCTGCCCCATTTCTAAACGGGGGGAAAAAATTCCCCCCCGCCCCAACCCCCGCCCCGAGAGCCCCCCGCGGGCACCCGCCCCCATTGCCATCCCTATCTATTACACACTAATTTATAAGTAACAATTCAGGTTACACACACTCGTGTATTAACATGTATTCTTTTTAAGAGTTAAAGTTAATTAAGGGTATTATTATGATAATTTAAAGAGTATAAGTATCAATCTATTAGAGTGTACACACTAATACTAATGCATAACAAAAGACTCATTACCATTCAACGATTGACCATGATATGTTTATAAGTCATCAGATTAGTTATTGCAGCAGTTAATGTACAACTATCTGTACTTGATCTTGGGTACGATTGTACCTATCAACTTGTTTATAGAGTTTACCTAACTTTTTAGAATTCTGCAGATGAAGAGGCCGTGTTTTAGGCGTGAGTATTCTTTTTTCAAGAATTGACAAATAGACGTTTAAGGGGGCAATTTTCCATCTTGAATAGGCGTGAGTATTCTTTGTTCGACGAAAGATCATGAATTTCCCCGTTTAAGGGGCAATTTTCCATCTTGTGTTTTTGAAAAAATGCTATCACGTTGTATAGGCAGATTTTTTCCTATGGTACATCAACCATAGAAAGTCTTTGTCTACAGATAGTGAAATAGAACTCTTGTATGCTATGAGATGAAACCAAAATTTAAGAGTAAAATATAGTAAATCGCCTTGTGGTTTGGGGTTCGATCATGAAGCTCCCTCATTATTTAAAACCTCTACGTAATTCCTTTGTGTTTTGGATTAAATTAGAACGTGGGTGGAAATCATCCAAATTAACGGAAAAATCCAAAATGTCTATGCTACCCTCTTATTTCTTTTGTTTCTTGTTTTGTTTTATTTCTGGTTTTTTAAACATGAGCATTTTTGTTAACCAAAAGTTAGCTGCGCCAAAATCAAAATTGTAAAATGTTTTATATATGTAAAGATAACATTATGGATCAAAATAAAATTTATAAAAAATTCTTTTCACGTATCAAACTCCATGAAATTGTTGTAATTGGTCAAGTACAATTGGAGAGTAGCAAAATTAACCATGAAAGTGACCGTTTTTCGGCAAAAATTTGTTGCTTTTCCGTCTGCTTCTATTCCTCAAATCTCTCCACCAGTCTCCACTGCCTTTCACCAGTCGCCATCTTTTATTGGGTATATTAAGTGTGAATTCATGCCCAATATGGTTTTGGGATTTCCTTTCACGTTCAAGTTTAGTCCAAAGTACAAGGAGATTAAGCTCTAAATTGTTAACTCCAAAGTACAAGGAGATTAAGCTCTAAATTGTTAACTCTTAAACAATATAATATTAAGTTTTTGTCTAAATTTTTCTACTCAGCAAACCGGTGACTATGAAATATTTGTATGAATGAATGCTTGATTTCGTAATGTTGTATTGCCTTTGAAAAGAAATTAGACCTGGCCTGACTTTCTTCTCTATTTCTTTTTCCTATTAAGAAGAGGCGTGTAATAATTCTAAATTGTCCTTGTCTTGTTGATATCAATCTTAGGGTAAAGTAGAATTACTCTTAGATTTTCTGACGTCAATTGAGAGTCGGTGAATAGTCTTCTAGGGTAAAGATCATGTCGACGCTATTGGAGGTGATGAAAGGTGCATTTTGTGAATAAATTAGAAGGGAGATTATTACCTAGAGAAAGATGGTGGACTAGGAAGCGAGATTGGGGTTCATACAATTGCAGGTTCGATTGTATGTTGCTGTCTTAGCATTCACATTTATTATGTTAGCATCTACATCTAATTTGTTGATATTTACACTATACCATACAATTGAAACTGGTAATTGTAGAAGCCCCTGATTGAGGAAAGGGATATCTGGAGGCAGGAAGGGGTCCAAAGATTGACCATGTAGCAAGCCATCGAATTAGTTATTGAATAGGTGAAGTTTGAAATGTAAAATTGCCGCTATCAACTTGTCTATAATGCTACCTAACTTTCTACAATTTGAGGGAATGCTAATTGTATTTTTTACTTTTCTTTTCACCTACTTCCTTTTTCAACTCAAAGGATGCTGTAGTTTGTGATCATTGTTTAAGACCGAAGCTCAAAGTCAAATTCTGATGGTGCTGTTGTTAAATTATTAAGGACATTATCACCATTATTTATTCCTTACTAGTTTCAATAATAACTGATGTCGATCCTTTTTCCCCTTGATAAACTAACAGTTGGCATTTTCTTTAGAAGACGAAAGGAAAGAATTAGTCACATATTCTTTGTGAGTTTTGTCTTTATAAATTATTAAGGAAAGAATTAGTCACAAAAAGATTGAGATCATTGCAGTTGAAACTAGTGATCAGGGAAAAATAATGGTGATAATGTCCTTAATAATTTAGCAACAACACCGTCACAATTTGAGTTTTGTATCTCTAAATTCCACGAATAAATAGTTTCATCAAATCAAGATTTAAACTTTTCCTAATGTTAGTTTCCTTGACTTTCAATGAGATATTTATTAGTATCATGCTTCGGTCTTAAACAATTATCACAAACTATAGCATCCTTTGAGTTGAAAAGGGGTGTAGGTGAAAAATAAAAGTAAAACAATTAGCATTAGACCAAATTACCTAAGCATTTGATGCTTTTGATAAAAAAAAAATGATCAACAATATTAAAGACAAAATATAAGAGAAAAAGAGAAAAGTGTCGTAATGTAAATAGTATTCATTTATTATATGGACCTGCAGTTTGCCAACAGGACAGAAAACCTTGCAAGCATGTACTGCATGGTACGTAAAACGGTACAAACCCCATAAACATGGAACTCAGGAGCTAAAGTCAATTTAGATGTAGAAATGGTAACGTAGAAACTTGGAATCATCCTCGCATTGGGCTTTTATTCTTATTCTTCTACATCTTCTTGAAGGTCTCAAACACCGATTGCCTTCTCCTTTGCCTGCAAATATTCAGTTGGCTTTCAGCTATGTGCATTTTTAAGTTGACAAGCAAGTTTACAAAAAAAAAAACACTCTTTAATCTGTATACTGCTCAAATTCTTGAAAACAGACCGAAAAAATAATGTATTTCTTTGGTTCTTAAAAAAAATCTTCTACTAGTCATTTTCATGGATCAAGTGTACGTCCTTAGCATGATAATATACATGGCAGTTTGTGTTGATAAAGTTTTGGATAGGTATTATTACCTCAAAACTTATGCACTTGCTTAGTAGTGGTGAGGAGAAGGAGAACCGTAGTAGTGATGATAGGGTGGAGGTGGAGACAGGTAAACTGGGGGAGGAGGTGGAGGTGAGTTGTACTTGTAAACTGGAGGTGGTGGGGACTTGTACACTGGAGGAGGTGGTGGAGGAGACTTGTACTCGTAAACAGGTGGCGGAGGAGACTTGTATACCGGAGGAGGTGGTGGGAGTGACTTGTATTTGTAAACTGGTGGCGATGGAGATTTGTAAACTGGAGGAGGTGGTGGTGGGGACTTGTATTTGTACACTGGTGGAGGCGGGGAGTTGTATACCGGAGGGGGTAGTGGTGGTGACTTGTAAACTGGAGATGGTGGAGGTAAATACACCGGAGGTGGTGAGTAGTGGTAAGGTGGTGGTGAGGACTTGTAAACTGGAGGAGATGGTGGGGGTAACTTATAAGCAGGGGTTGGTGGAGGTGAATACACTGGAGGTGGTGGTGAAGAATAGTGGTAAGGAGGAGGAGGAGGAGATGAATACTTGTAATAATCAGCTGCAGTTTCCAAGGGCAAGCCAAGGGCGACAAATACCACTAAAACAGTGGTAAGAAGAGGAGTCAGCCTAGACCCCGTTGCTTTTGCTTTGCTCCCCATTGTTACTACAAATTCTTGTTTTAGGCTGATATGCTTCTAGGCAGCCTCTAGCCCCCTTTTTATAGCACTCAGTGGCTTCATTTTTCACTTCCAAGACTTGGAAGATGTAAACATGGTAAATCTCTTTTAACAGCTCTCAACAACTTTAGAAAAGTTAAAAATCGTGTACGCGTTGGAATGGGTTGTCCTCAAATTGTACTTTGAAACAATCGTGAATATTCATTATTCGATTGTGTTAGGTTGAGAATTATGCTCTAAATTTTTGAATCTCAAGCTATATAATAACAAGTTTTGGTATTATTTTGCAACTTAGGGTGTGTAATAAAACTGAAATCTGAAATCTGAATCCATTAAATTATTAAATTTAATATATTTGAGTGCATATCACATTCAAAGATAAGTGAATAACTTATCACTTAATTTTGAAAGCAAGTTTTGTTTAGAAAGTTCAGTGTTACTTAATTAATTTAAATATTCAATTTTTTGTTATCAAATGATTTAAATGTGTTAAAATTTGAATCTATTAAATTTAATTACGAAATTGAGCTATCAAACAGGGCCTTAGGCATGCTATGACTTTGAAATATTGTGTGAATGCTCGATGGCGTAATGTTGTATTATCTATGAATAAAAGACCATATACGGACCCACTTTCCTCTCTATTTCTTTTACCTATCAAGAAGGACGGTCTAATAATACAAAATGGTCGCTGTCTCATTATTAACAGTCAATCTTTGAGTAAAGTAGAATTCGTCTTAAGAATTTCTGACATCAAATGCGAGTCGGTGAATTGATTTTTAGGGTAAAGACCCTGTAAAGGCTTTTGGAGGTAATAAAACATAAAAGGTGCATTTGTAAAGAAACGAGTTGGGAGATTATTATCTAGAGGAAACGAATTGATACGTGCAGGAAGAGATATGAAGAGACTATAGGTCTTCTGCAATACAGTAATGTAACATTCACGTTACACACTTTTGTATATTAACACGTGTTCTTTTTATCAGTTAAATCTAATTAAGGGTATTATCATGATAATTTAAAGAATATAGATATCAACCTATTAATGTATGTAACATGAAAATTACATCATGACGTACAACAAAAGATCCATTGCCATTCAAAGTTTGACCGTGTAGTGTTGTAAGTCATCAAATTAGCTGTTGCAGCAGCGAATTTTGAAATGTGCAACTGCTTGTTCCTGATCTTGGGTATGATTATACCTGTCAACTTGTCTAGTTTTGCCTAACTTTCTAGAATTCTGCGGGACAGTGTAGATGAACAGGCTATGTTTAGGAGCGAGTATTCTTTTGTAAAGAATTGACTAGTAGACTAGTTTGAGGAAAGATCATGATTTTTTCCGTTCAAGGGAGCAATTTTCCATCTTGTCTTTTTTGAAAAAATGCTATCACATCGTATAGGCAAAATTTCCTTATATTATATCACCCGTAGAAAGTTTACGTCTACAGATGATGAAGTTAAGGAAATTTTGCCTTGACAGGTGTCAAGCCTGTGTAATAATAATTATTTATTCAAAAAAATACAAATTTTGTATATAGCGGTGAGTAGGATCGAATCCACAGGAACTAGAAATAATTTATTTCTTTTAGAGTCCAGAGATGAGGGGTTTTTATAAAAATAACTAATTAACTAAATTAAAACAACGCATGAAGATAGATATGAATGAATCAACAACAGATAAGACTCTAGCCAAAGGTACAACTTTTCAGACACGGTCCATTCAACTGATTACTGATGCAAAGATAATTCAATTACTCATTAATAGATTGATTATAGTTGTCGTACACGCGATAAACAATCAACTCTTCCTTACTTTTTCGATAGTCAAGGTACGACCATTAACTATTTCGCTAACAAAAAAATAATCTTAGGTACGACCGGGAGATTTAATTTCTCAATTGAATTAAGAATTAGAAAAGTCCAACCCTAATCAACAAACACGCTACGACGGTTTGTTTAAATTAGATCAGACGTTTTCCTAACATGGGACCAATCACGCTAGTCGCCACTGATATTAATCAATCAAACAATTACGGATTTAACCGGTTAATTTGGCAGTAGATTATTAAGTTAATTCGAATATCGGACCCTTGACATTCAAATAACAAAACAATCATAAAAAGTTAAATCAGAAAACGTGCGAATACCAATAAATAAAAGAAATAAGTAAAATAATTCGATTTCACAGATATTTGGAACCGAATTTTCAAATTGACCTTCGACTAAAAATTGAGGATTTAGCTACGCATCCTAGAAGAAATTCTGCCAGACTCCATTGAATCTAGTTGCAATTGGTTTTCCTCTCAAACTAACGAAAAGCAAGATGAATTGAGAGGCTAAGTGGCCGTCCTCCCCACCGAGATTGTTCCCTGGCCAAGGTATTAATCAAGCGGGATTCCGGCCTTCTTTTTCTCTTTGTTTTCTAATTGAAGTCTACTACTAAATAACAACTAGTCTCCTAAATAGAAAAATAAATCACAAAAGAAATTATTCCAAGATTCCTAATTCAACCATAAAACTAATAATGAAATTTCAAATCTTCCAAATCTTCCTCTAAAACTGTCCAGAGTTTGAATCAAACTTGGAAACAGGCCTTGAACATGCGAATCCCAAATCCTTCAGCCTTGACAACCAATTTGCAGAAAATCACCTATTTTTAGCAACTTTTGCTCTACCGCCCTACAATTAGTACAATTAACCAAATATAAGTAGAATTTGATAATTAAAACAATATTTGGCTTGAATAAAAGGGAAATCAATCATAAATTTAATGACAAATTTGAACCTATCATGCCTATACAATGTGATAGCGTTTTTTCAAAAAGACAAGATGGAAAATTGCCCCCTTGAACGATTCTTTAACTTGTATCTTTCAATAAAGATAAATAGTTTAAATTTCAATATTTAACAATATTTAATCTTACAATCATTAACACTTCTGTCACTATCCAATGACAAATATCACTTGTAGGTATGATACCTAAAAGAAACTATAAAATCTCTCATGAAGTAGTACTATTATATGTCATAAAATGAAAACAAAATTTATTGCTTAATTTGGATGTTAAAAAATCATTTGATAATTTCTATTGACTCTAGTTGTGAAGTTATACCTCACTAGCGAAGCCTGTATGACATATTGATTAAGCAGCCAATTTCTTGAGTTCGTATTTTTGAAGTCACGAGAATAAAGAAAAAAACTTAAGGAAGAAAAAAAAAGAACAAACGTGAATACAACAATTTTATGATACCATCTATTTGTAATATAAACATCTGCACCCAACTTAAGGCAAGGAAATTAGATACCAAAACAGTAAATGTGCATATAACTGTGCTAGTGTAGTTTCACCAACAAGTGAAGTCTTCCTAATAGAGCCCTTGAAAGTATTAATTTCATCATGGTCTTTAAAATTCTACTTCTTTCACTGATTTGTATGAATAAATTTAATTTGTTATCATAAATTTTGCTAATTTTTTTATAATTTTTTTTCATAAGAGCACAATTATCCACAATAATGGGATCAATACAAGCTGGTTACTGACGAGTGCGGGGTATACATATATCAATTAGTTCATCTACAGTCAAGTTTTACATTTATAAATTCTAAATACCGCACACGTGATTTTTCGCAAGTATACGAGTCGAGAGCGAGTATAGGGTATTAAAGGTCGATCCCACAGGGAAAATTTTCAATTACTAGTAGTTTTTGAACTCCATTATTATCTAGACTACCATAAACATAAAAGTAATGAAAATAATACTAAAAACCTCCTAGAGATATGGAATGCCTTACTACTCATGCAAATGAGATTACTGATTAAATGAATGATATTATCTTGACTAGTTATGATGTAATTTTCTAATGTATGTGAAACCTACTCTCGTAGTGAATCAACTATACATATAGCTAAACCATACTTACTCTCGTGGTTATGAAATTAATTACAAGTTCATTTTTTCTATGAAATTATATGAAACAAGTCACTTAGGTCACAAAGGTGTTCCTCTACTCTCATGAGTGAACTCCCTAAATTTATCACTTCCTTGAACTAGTGTTAAACTCCAATTCTCATTACAAACTTAACACTTTTAGATAATCACAACTAATGGCCAGTTAATCACGATTAGAAAAGCAAAAGTGATAAATAACTTGCTCAAAAATAACATCATCAAATAACCAGTTAAATATCACAAACAAGATATAGAAAGGTCATCCATACTCTAGGCATAAACTTTAACTAAACATGATAAAAAAAAAAAACAAAGCCAAATTTGTAGTATAGTTAAATATGAAATCAAATACAAAAGAGAAAGTAGTAGAAGAGATATCACCCTTGTCACATGAGATCAACCTCTCTATCTTTGCTCCTGAATCTTCATTCAAACCTAACTATAAATACAAGAAGGAAAAGCTACACTAACTATACTATACTACCCTAACTAATGAACTAAGGAAATTCTAGTGAAGACTATGTTTTTGTGGAGTTTCTCTAACCTTCCAAAGTTGTGAAAATGTTCTTCAAAGGCCTCTATTTATAGAGGATTCAAGAG